TTCTTATAAAACCATAAATTTTCAAAGACTATTTGTTAAAAATATTAATAATAATTCAATAATTATTCAAAATAGAGTTGATCAATATAAAAGATAATAAAATCTTTGATTTTATTATGTCATTATGAAATATAAAAGGTTCATTTGTTTTAGTCTAATTCATGAATCATAATGGAAGTATTGATTTATATCTAAAACAAGTTCAATTTTTCCTTATTCATTTGATTAACTTATCAAATAATATAGCAAAATACAATTTGGCTTTTATTTAATGGTTTAAATCTATTAATTTGACAAATATCAGATTTTATTTTGATTTGAAAATAATATAAATGTTGAACTATAAAACAGTATTGTATATTTTTATTGTCCAAAAAGATTTTTGACTGTCCACATTTGTGTTCACGTTTGTCCGCGCCTTGTGTAACGTTTTTATTAAGTTGAAACTTTGTAAATATATGCAAAATTGCTTGAGAAGCAATTTTATTTAAGGTATCAAAACTAATTTTATTAATAAAATATTGTATAATTAATGTTTAAAGTTCATGTAACTTGTTTTTGAACTGTCTCAAAATATCACATGTACAATACTGCTATAGAATATTAAATTTTATTTAATTAAATGTAAATATATAATTCTTATTTACATTATTTTTAATCAATTTATTTCATTTAAAGATAAGATTTCAAATTAACAAGATTTTTATAAATATTTAGCTATTATTTTTTTAAATCATAAATACAATATATAAAATTTTGTTGAAATATATATAATTTGGCAAGATAATATAATTTAACAAAAATATATATAAATTTGATAAGATAATATAATTCACAAAGTAATATAATTTGACAAAGTCAAAATATATATATATATATTTGATGCAAAAAATAAATTATTCATCTTACTGTCAAAATATTAACTTTAACAAAATAAGATTTAAAAAAAAAGTATATCATTTATTTACTGAATAAATTATATACTGCTTTATAACCAAAGATAAAAGTTATATAAATTTGATTAATTAGTTAGATTATATACTTTTTTAATAAATAATTGATGAGTAGTATTATATTGAATAAATCAATTTCAACTAGTAATTTTAAAAAAATACAGTTTAAATAATTGTATTTCAATTGCAATGCTTTCTCTATTGACTTGTTTATGCTATTTGTATAATATATTTTATGTTATACACTTTATTATTTATATTATTATAATAATATTCTTAATTAATATTTAATTTTTAAAAAAACAAATAAATTAGAAATTCTAATCAATATATATGTTCTAAAGAATCAAATCAAAAAAGAATTAAAATATTTCAAGAAATAAGAAATTATTAATAACCATGTTATAACAATAAAAATAAAAGATTTGAAAGTACAAAAAAACTCTTTTCTGATTATATTTGTTTTGTTAAAAAAATTTTTTTATAGTAATTTTAAGTAAGAAAAAATGTTTTATACTTTTTATCACAAGTAAGTCTCAACTTAAAAACTTAAAAACCTTCAAAATAATTGATGCAGTAGGATGGGATCTCTGGTTGAAGTCTACTCAAGTTTGAGAGTCTTGCTTATTCTTCGGTTGTTTGAGAAAAGGTCTATAGTGGTTTTTTTTTTTTTTGTTTTCTTGCATTCTCCTTTTCTTTTTTATATTACAAAAACCATTTACATCAATATTATTATACTCACTAAATCAAATACTTTTTTAAAACATACTTAAATAAAGTTGTTGAATCTATTGTTTGTTTTAATATAATCTTTACACATAACTTTATCATGGTACTATTTATTGCACCATTTCAAAATTTCCAAAAAATTGATAATCATTACTTTTCAATCATCCAATCGGATTTCATTAAAACAACAAAGAAAAAACAAAACTTGTTCAAACTGGTTTTTTAATACAATAACAATAACAACAATTACTATAACAATAAACAATATCAATTATACTTTATTATCTATATTAACAAGGGTTATGTCTTTAAGACCAATGTCAATATAAGAGCCAGACAATTGGTTATCTTTTAAATATTCTTTTTGTTTATATAGATTTTATAGTTCAAGTGACTGAGTTTTAGTTTCAGTAACCAATGTTATTGTAGTTTCAATTTATTTTTCTTTTCAATTTTTTTTTATTTTCTATTCTTTTTTAAGTCCAATCAAAAAACTCTAAGTAAGTAAGTATAGCTGCTCTTAGCTATATTTAGTATATATAATATTGTTTTAAATTCTTTTTAATATTAATTAGATATAAATGGATAGGCAAGTTAGTATTTAACTTGTTATATGCTTTTTACATTCAAAAGATATTGTTTTTTTTACAAGTGTATATAACTTTAAGTATAATACCAATAAAGAAATAATGTTTACCTACTGAAAAAAAAATTTGAAAGTACAAATAATTAAAGAGTATATTCAATCTTTAGATTATACCAAATTCAGAAAGATTTTTTCAAGCAGAAATAAACAATTGATTATCTATATATATTCTGGATAAAACTTGTTATAATTATTTTAACACTTTTGATTATACTTCAAAAAAGTCAAATAAAAATTTAAACAGATTGTATAACCTATATTATAAAAAAAAGAAACAAAAAGTATAAGAATTGAAAACTATAAATAAGATGTATAAATTTAATATATAAAAAACAAATTATAATCTAAATAACCAAAATAAAAGTCTATTATAAGAACAATACCAATAATAAAATAGATTATTTTATTAAATAAGCAAAAGAAAAATTCAAAATTGGTTAGAATAATTGATACTGACAAGAAGTCTTAATAATATTATATTGTAACAAGATTTTATTGATATAAAAATAAGAAACTTTATTAAAAAAATATATAAAATAAATAAATCAAATTAAATATAAAAAGGATGGATTAAAGAAATAGATAATTAAAAAAAATTTCAATTAAATTAATTTTTGAAAAGTAAATAAAATAAAAGAATCTTTAATAATATTACTTAAACAAGTAAAAAAAAAATCTTTAAAATAAAATTAATATATAATGAATTATCAATTCTGAATAATATAATCAAAAGATTTCTTATAAAATATAAAAATCTGATCAAATATCTATACTGCTAACAAGAAAAAGAATCCTTAGAATATTTTCTTTTTTGTAATAATATCACAAAAATATATAGATAAATATAAAACAAAAGTCAAAATCAAATACTTAATAAATAGTTAAAAAACACTTAAACAAAAGAAGTACAAAATAAGCAAATTATTATATAAAATCTATTATAAAAATAATATAAAGCAAATTATTTACAGATATAAATATTATAAATATATACTTAGAATTTTTTTCAAAAAAGAATATTACAAAATAAATATAAACAATAGTTAAAGTCAAAATTAAAACTAAAAAAGCAAAGCAGTTATTAAAGAAACTTTCAATAAATATTTGTAAACAAATTTAAAAAAAATTATAAAATAATAGATATACTAGATTGTAGGATTTCAAAAGAAAATTCAAAATATATAAATCTAAGAAAAAAATATTTATGAAATAAAAAGAAAAAAGAAAAAACTAAAAGATTTTAAACAAGAAGAAACAAATTCAAGAAAATTATAAAAAGATGATATAAAAGATTTTAATCCTTAAGCTTAAGACAAGATCTTAATTTGAAAATAGATTAAAAAAGAAAAAAAATAGTTAGAAATATAAAAAATAGTTTAAATTTTGTTTAAATAAACATAGTAATAAACTGCAAGTAATGATTTTTAAAATTAAACTTTATAAATAAGTAAATTTTAAAAAGAACAATTTTTTTTATCTTTAAAGTCACACCTAAAGACATTAATCAAAGATAAATATTTAAAACAGTAGAATAGTTTATATAATATAATATATAATATATTATTTGTTTTTTATAAAAATTCATAAACAGTATGTATTTGTTTAACTATAGAAATAAAAAATTAAATATTAATTTATTTATAAAAAATTTTTTTAACAATATATTTTATTAAATAATATTAAATAATTATAAATATAAAGATAGTTATTATATTATAACAAGATTAAATAAGATTATATATTTAAATTAGTGTTTTAATTAATATTTTAATTCAATTATTTAAGTTTATAATAAAAAAATATTATTATTAGTATTATATATATATATATATATATTATTTTTTATATACTGTATAAGTTATTAAATTTTAATATTATTAAAATAAAAAATACAACTAATAAAATTTATAATTTAATTAACTCTTTTTGAATATTACTAGATATTTAAAAATGTTATATATATATTTTATATAAAATTTATATTTTAAACAATATAAATTAAATATTATTTTAAATAAATTTGATACAGATTTTTGCATATAAAAAGAGTAATATAAGTTGGTACACAGCAAAACCATGCTTTGAAAGGTTTTAACAAATATTGAAATTTTTAGTGGATTATACTGATATATTATAATTTGGTACAATCTCGCGCGCAATTTTTTAATTTTATATAAATTTAAATTGATAATCGTCGATATCTCCAAATAGGGATTTTGTCTCAGAGCATGGTTTTGCTCATATAATACTAACTTATAATTGAATTATTGTTATTTTAATAATAATTTGTTTTAAATAAACAATATTTTTATTTACGATAAAGGTCAAAGTTATTTTTATAATATGAACATGTCAATGTATGAATGATCTCATTTAAGTATAAGATTAAATCTTATTTAAGTAATGAGATTAAATTTAAATGTACTACACGTTGATCGTGAACGTGCATTTGTTATCACGTGACACCCGGCCTAACCGGTTTTCCCATCATCCGTGAGATCGACCAATGGCTCGCTTTATGCACAAAATTGATGGCACTGCAGTGACACTACCCAAATCAGGTGTAATCTTCTTAGAAAAGGGATCGATATGAGCGAGATGTTTAGTGGTGTGGATTAGTTATCTTGAGTAATTACGGCAACAGAGCGTTACCCGCTTAAAAAAAAAAAAAAATGCCATACCATTCTTTTCCTGTGCTTAACCAGCAGTTTATTGTTGATTCAAAATACGAATTCATACGCGAATTAGGCCAAGGAGCTTATGGTGTTGTTTGGTATTTCCATTTAGAATCTTTCTGAAGGTCATTTGGAATAACAGAAAAATAGGTTGACACGTCGCATTCTTTTCACTCGCATATTTCCGTACACCTACCAAACCAATTTTGTCGTTAAAAACAATAGCGCAGCTAAAAATACCGAGACAGGAGAGCATGTTGCGATCAAAAAAGTCACAAAGGTTTTTGAAAAGAATATTTTGGCCAAACGCGCTTTGCGGGAGGTGAAACTACTAAAACATTTCAGTAATCATGAAAACGTTAGTTTGTTTCTTTATCCAAGGTTTTTCTTAATTAAATTCAGTATTCGAAAATCCATTGTTCATGGAATAGGAGTTTTTCTGACTTTTTTGATTTACTCGCTAAAATTGGTTAGATCACATCAATTTTAGACATGGATATAACAAATGTCCACGATTTCAACGAAATGTAACGTACATATGATCAGAAATCATCATTTATATCTTAAATATAGTTTAAGATCAAATTTCATGCGATATCACGTCTACTGTTAAACAGTTACCTATTCCAAGAACTTATGGAAGCAGATCTTCATCAGATCATACGCTCCGAACAGCCATTGACTGACGCACATTTCCAATACTTCATATATCAAATCTGCCGAGGTTTAAAATACATCCATTCGGCAAACGTTCTGCATAGGGATCTGAAACCTGGTATGCTTGAATGGCATCATATGGGAATTCTATTGATCTTTACTACAATTAGCTGATGATGACATATTAAATATTTAATCAATCATTAGGAAACTTATTGGTAAATGCGGATTGTGAGTTGAAGGTAAAATATTCGGGATTATTAATAATAGAGTAAAGTTCTGGATGAGAAATGTTTCGATGTACTGGTTTCAACCGATTCTTTAGATCTGCGATTTTGGCCTTGCTCGAGGATTCTCCGATTCACCCGATCACAATGCCGGTTTTATGACCGAGTATGTTGCAACTCGGTGGTATCGGGCCCCAGAAATAATGTTGAGCTTTCAAAATTATACAAAAGCTAGTATGTTCTTGCATTGATTCTCAATGGTATTTGGAAAAGAGCAAAGAATTTTTATTAAGAATTTTTTTTTTTTTGCGGCGAATTGTCAAAGTTGACATGTGGTCTGTCGGTTGTATTTTTGCTGAGATGCTCGGTGGCAAGCCATTATTTAAAGGACGGGATTATGTTGACCAGTTGAACCAAATATTGGGAATTTTGGGTACGCCGGATGAAGAGACTTTAAGAAGGGTTGGAAGCGAAAGGGTAAATGGTTATTTCTAGAAAACTTGATACATTTGGATCGACAGAAAGTATAGTAAATTTAATATTATTATCAGGCTCAGATATATATCCGTAGTTTGCAAAAAAAGACAAAAACACCTTTTTCACAACTTTACCCCAAAGCTAATCCGCTTGGTAAATATTTATTTTTCTTTTTTTTTGTCCGTGTTTCGGATAAATTAATCAACTCATACATTTCAGCTCTCGATTTACTGGAAAAACTTCTCAAATTTGATCCTGCTACAAGAATCACGGTTGAACAAGCATTGGCACATCCATATCTTGCCGCATATCATGATGAGGAGGATGAGGTTCAGTATTGAAGTAGAAATTTTTCGAGAATGAATATTCTGATCAACTAATTTAAAATCTCTGCTCACCAGCCGACACACGAGCATATATTTGATTTTTCTTTTGAAAGCGTTGACCAAATAGATGATATGAAGAGTAAGTCTGGTCAACTTAAGTTATATATTTACTAACGAACCAACATTCAAGAATTGTATATTTAAAAAATGCCAGAATTAATCGCCCGAGAAGTAATGAACTTCAAAGCCTCTAAACAAGCCTTAATGTTAAATAGTTCGCAGATGGGACGTAAATCAAGGTGACTACCTCACAAGAATTATTTATTTTTTTTAAAAAAAAGCAACTTTGGCACCAATTTTACGAAAATTTTAATTTATAATAAAGCTTGTCAGCCCCTGATCGCGACACGATAGCTCAATCCCAACAGAACAATCGCAATTCCTTGTACGAATATGGTGCAGCTAGTCAACATGCAGCTATCCCTTCTGATAGTATGGAAGTGGATGAGTTGGAAAAAGAGCTTGGTGGGATGGCATAAGATCCCGATTTGTTTTATAAAATGAATTTGTTTATTAAAAAACGTGTATCACCATCTATCTAGATCAAGGATTTGAAAATCCGACATCTAATTTATCTGCTTTGACAATTAAAGGAATTTTAGTAGATTAGTAGATTACGTATATGACGTGAAGATGTTTTACTTTTATTTATTTATTACGTTAATTTTTTTATTTAATAAATTAAAATTAAAATTCGTATTATCTATCGAAGTGCTCCACCTTAATAGTGACATTATTTTACAGTTGAAATGGGATTTGAATTGAACGATAATATAAACAATCTAGTATCTCAGTATCACACAGGAATTTGTAGACAGAACAAATATGAAAGTTGTTGAGCGAAAGAATTTCTTTTTTTTCTTTCTTCGAACCCCTCCAAACCGGACATTGACGACACACTGGTGAACGACATTTTGAAGAAATCACGTGAAATGAACAAATTATTCATAAAATGGTTCAGCTACTAACAGACTGCAAATTCACGTAATGATGTGAATTATACAGATAAGAGACGCAAATAATTTAATAAGTCATGACCTCACTTGGTCAACCTTGCCGACTTTCAGGAACGCGTCCAATCAATCGAAATTCCATCGCAGATTAATGACGCCGCCTGCAAACATTATATAATCATTACGTACAGATGTAAGGTTAAAAAAAACCTAATGATCTTCACACGTCTCGTTCCGACTGCCTGAGAAAATTATTAGAAACCGACAGTCACATAATCTCTTTAAAATTCAAGAATCTCAAATGTTAAAGCCGAAGCGTTAACAGTTTGCTTTGGACACCTTTACATTCCCATATTAATTGTGATCAAATTTAACGTCGAAGTGTATTGGCGGTAGCTCATTTCTGGAAGTTGAGAATTGTGCGATTACGCTGAAATTTTATAAAGGACTCTTTCTGCTCACGACACATTTGATCTACAGTCAAAGAGTAGAATACTGGTTATGATGTCACTTTAGGAATTCAATCTTTCGCTATCAAATATGGAGAACGGTGTCGGACACGTTAATCTGCCAAGCATTACACAAATTTTTCTGTTACAGTGTCCAATGAGAAGTATTAGCCTCGGTAAAGGTATTTACTTTCAAAAAATAGTTCACCATATACGATTTATTAAGTTACAATAGTTAGAATGTTCTGATCTTTATTATTTTATTTTTTTTATGTATGTCTTGTTAGTCAGATTAGTGTAGATAAGGTATGACACGGTTTTTGGTGTTTTCTTTTCCGTCTCACTGGATCCAAACTGCAATCATTATTAAATGAGTGAGATATGCCTTTAAACCTCGATAAATGAGGTCATTATAAATAAATTAAATTGGATATAATTTCGTTAGCTACTAACTACACCGATGGCTCGTATTTTGATTGGTTGTTGAAATATTAAATACGTAGCGTGTTTACAGTCAATTTTAATAATTCCAGATTTGATCCAAAATGTCGGAGCATTCGATCAGAAATTTGAATAAGCGGTATGAGCTAGATGTTGTTTATCTTCTGCGATCGGCGAATCCGAAATATGTAAATTATGCATACGTTGGTAAAGCCACTTGGATTTATTATATCTTGCCATTGTTTGAAACTTCCTTCGTTCATTATGTTTGTTATGCATAGGAACGACCCCCAACCCACAGAAACGTTTGAGGATGCATAATGGTGAATTGGCGGCTGGCGCGAAAAAGACAGAATCAAAAAGACCTTGGTAAATATGACAATGTGCAATAAATCAACGGTTCGACCTATTGACCCGATTATTCGATTAAGGGAATACGTGTTGTTTGTATATGGATTTCCTAGTAAAATTGCCGCGTACCAGGTGAACATTGATTAAACCTTGCGCATGCTAAGTTACAAATGTATTCATTAAAGTTTATTATGTTCATAGTTTGAATGGGCGTGGCAAAATCCACATAAAACCCGTCATATCGACTCATTACCCTATCAGAAGAATGATTATCGGGTTACTACAAAGTTGCAGGTTCTTAATGACTTGTTGAATTCAAAGTCTTATTGCAGGTGGCCACTACATCTTCACATTATGATACCTTGTGATGAACTTGCCGCAATTGGTCGATCACTTCATCTTCGCGCGAACACTCCTCCTTTATTCGATTTGTTCAAGTTGCAAAAGAATCTTCGGATTACTCAAGGTTCTTTCGAAAAACATTATATTGATACTGGAAATATTTACTCCTTTGCTAATATCAATGGGATGTCAAAAGGTAAACTATTGCACGAGGATTAAGAAACACGCATAATTAAATATTTTAAACATGATTTTTGTTTTAAGATGACCGGTGCGCAGATCAATACCACAAATTTGATATGGTAAAAAGAAGGAATCCTACCTGTCGTCTATGCGGAGAAGCTCTTGAAATTAAAGTAATCTGCTTTATTTAATCGTTTAATTTCACAAAAGAAAAGTAATCGTTAATTCACTTCTCTTTCATAGAATCACAAGTCGTACATCACTTGTCTAACACCAGCTTGTCTCATGATGTCTCATATTATTTGTTTAGCCGACAAATTCATTTCAGAAGAAATAAGCGAGCATCAGTGCACCTCCCGGGACGAACCACTTTTACCAGTCAGTGGAAACTGTCCGGATTGCGCGAACACACTTTGTTGGGGGGATTTGATAGACACGATGCATTTGCGAAAAGCTTTGATAAGATAACTCGATAAAAAACCATTAACTATCATTCATGTGTTTATTTGTAAATAGCTTTTTAGAATGAATAAATTATTTAAAAAAACAAATAAAATTAAAAATGCAACATATGCAAGAATTTTTTTAATTTGTAATTTTTTTCATTTTAGTGATCCGCCAAATACTGTAAACATTTTTCAGCAAACAAATATAGTGTAAACTTTTTTTTTTTTTTGAAATCTCGATTATATAATGTACATTGAAATTGGCATTTTTTTTTTCATATACAGTATAAACAAAAAAACCAAGTAATATTAGAAATAGAAATTAAATAATTTTAATTTAACTTCTTAATCTCTACTGTATTTAAAATTTAGTACAAATAAAAAATTTTAATAATATTAATTACTTGATAATTTAATTTATTTTATTTTTCTGAAATTCTAATTAAAAGAATTTATTAAAAATATAATATATAATTTTATTTAAATGACCTGTGGATCTATAGTGCAGTGGTTAGCATTAGGGTTTCTAATAGTATTATTTCAATATCAAGTTGGTACTGGATTTATTATAAGTTTAATATATCCATATATTAAATTTATTATAAGTTGATATCAAGTTGATACCATTTTGATACTTGATTCAGAATTCTAATTAATACTTTACAGGTTATATTAAAAAATATGGTTCAATTCTAGATAAAAATAATTAAATAGTATCTATATTATATTTAATATTATAACCTATTAAATATTATTTCTTATATAAAGTTATTTCATATAACCTACCCAGTCATAGTCCAGTGGGCTAAGGCAGGGTAGGGCTAACCTATGAACTACGGTTCAATCCCAGCTGGAGGCAATTCACATATCCCTAATGGGACTTTGCGTCACTGCTCCTGTAACTCGTGATAGAGAGCAATTTGGATTGTTCCAGTGATCAAGGAGCCTTATGGGTAGACTACACCCCATAGGTCAAAAAGATAGATGATCTGAGTGATAAATTTTCTGATCAAGTATTGCCTGGGAAATATCTCCAAAAGGGGGAAAAAGTTTTATGGAATCTTTCCAGTAGTGGAAGGAAAGGTACAGACGGCTAAAACCATTAGTCGCACAACTATCAGTAAGAGTTTCATATGTCTGTTAGTAGCGAGGATCTGGTCGGGATTGTAGGAGGTCGCTTGTATCACAGGATGTTCTATCCTAAGGGGTACACTTGTGACAGTTAATTACATACCCTCATAAATTGTAACCTCCCGCATGTGTTGCTAGGTCAGATTAGGAAGTATGAGGTTGGGTCTGATTTCCAAGCGAATTTGGTGTACTGGTGTACCCTTATCCCACCAATGATATCTTACTGACTAAATCCTAGTAAGTCTTGGCTAAACTGAATGGTTAAAATACTATAGTGATGACTGCAGGCAATGATTATCCTGACTTAATAGTAAAAGATCTTGCCTTGAATATAGCAACTTTTCATTCCTTCTGTCTATACTTAGAGGCTTAGGCCTAAGATGAGTATTTAGGACCCAATATCACCACCTGTACCTTGGAGAAACACCAGGAGACTGGCAAAAAGATAATAAAAGAGATATCTGAGTTGATGGCAAGGATAAAAAAAAAAATATATAAAGTCATTTCATATACTAATTCAACAAATATTAAGATTGTTTTTTTTTTTTTTTTTTTTTTTTTTTTTTTTATCACAAACAAGCATTAAATGCGAGACTTTATTTAAATAAAAAGTATTTACTGTCATTACATTAACAATCTTTACATGATAAATTAATCGTAACCTATTATAACAAATCTATTGAAACCAAATACTACTATGGGAGTGAACTCATGACAATAGTACTGAATGGCTAGTGCCTGTTCAAAATAATGATACTACTGCTGGGGTAAATATTGACTTGTCAGTATAATTATGTGATGTAGTTGTTAAATTTAGAATTGTATTAAACGTTGAGTTGCTAACAAATATTAAGATTGTAATTTCCAAAAAAAGATATTATATATAATAATTATTTGCATTAGAAATTTTTTTGGTGGAGATCTCCACTCAAAAAAAATTTTCGAAAATTTCCAGAGAAATCTTTGAAAATCTTCAAAGATTTTTAAGAATTTTTAATATAGAATTTTTTAAAATAAAAAAACTCTAGAAATTTTTATTTCAAAAAAATTTAAATTTCTTTAAAGTAATAATCATTATTTTAAAATAAATAATTATTTAATAAATATTCATTACTTTTACCAAATCTTGGAATTATAT